GATCTTTACATCTTATGTTCCAATTTTGAACATAAAAACTGTCTGAATACATATATTAGATTGATTCATAAATAAGTTTCACTACATACAATAATTTTTTTTTAAATATTTTAAGTTCTAATTATATCTAATAAGTTCTTCAATCATAAATTAATAAATATTATAACTATACATATCGTCTTATAAAACTGTAAAATCTTAAAATAGAAAATTTAAAGATATATGTATGTACATTACAAAAGGCCTTAAGAATTTAAACAAGAAAACACACAGTGCTGTTGTAATAATTCAAAAAATTTAAATTGTATATGGTAAAGGTGTCATAACAAATTAAGCAGAACAAAAGTGATTTATGAAATTTCTCTCTAAAGAAAAATTTCAAAAACCATAGACAGACCATTCCGATTTCAACGATGTTTTAACATTATTAGTGCAACAAAATCCACATTATATAATAGAGCGAAGATATTAAAAGTACAAAAAAGTAAAGATATTAAACACATCACAACCTCATCATATCAAAAAAATCTGATATAGGAAAATATAATTTATTTATGAATCAATCCAATTTATTTATGAATCAATCCAATATTTCATTTGTATACGATACAAATTATACCATAAATTTATCAAATACATATATTCTTAAAATTATATATAATAAATATATGAAATTCTTCGATTTTTTTTTTTTCAGTTCGACCTTGGCACCATTCGTACTTTTTTTTAATATTTGTAGTATTATGTTGTTAAAAATATGTATTGTATTTAAGCTGTATATGTATGCACAAATTTTCTTACATTAAGTTTAATAGCATAATATACGTTTCTCTGAAGCTTCTTCGATACAATCGAATTGAAAAGTTAATTTTTTATAATATGAAAGATAAAATTAAAATAAAAATTAAATGTATTTTTATTATATTGTAAAACTTCTAATTTTAAATTATCATTCTAATTGATATTTAAAATTGCATTATTTTTGTAGTACTTTCAAATATGTTACATTGTAATGAAAGCTTCAGAACAAATAGCATTCATGATGTAAAAAACAACTATTTTTATATTTAGTTCTATAGATCAAGCGCAGGCATTAGCCTTAATTTAGATTTAGTCTCAAATGAGATCTAAATAATTGTACTTCTTTAAAATAAATATAACTTTTATTAGAATATTAAAAAATGACGTTAGAAAGGGATTTGGATTTCTCTTTACATTGAGAGAAAAGTATGTTAAATATATTAATTATATAGATTATATATATAGAGATAGATATTGATTATATAGATAGAGATAAACATACACATATGTATAACACCAATAATTTTATCTGAATAACAATGAATCTTTGTTATAAAATGTTTTCACGATATTCTGTATCTTACGAGGAAGAACTCTATTTATGGAAACTAAATCAAAAACAGAAACATATATTAGTGTTTTATTTTACTAACTATAATTTTCGTTAAAATTTTGAATCATATTTAACAAAATTTTATCGCAATGTTCTTGAATTTAAAAAGAAAAAATATACGCATAACGTTGTTACTTTAAAATCACCTTAGATCACTTCAAGATTAATGTTTGAATGTGCAGATGTTTAAAGCATACACATACATATGTAAAGCAGATAAAGCTCTCTTTCTGTATTGTGATCACTCGTCGAGTTTAAAGTCTGAGACACATAATTAAACAGTACAGGCAATAGGAGCAGAGTATATCAAACATTCTATCAAAACCGTGTATTTCTGATATACACAGTTTCTGACAGATTGAAATTTGTTATTCCGCATTCCCATTGTCTATACTTTTCAATATTGTGTCAGGCTCGAAGTTCTTAACTAGTTACCGCGACCATATTGAATTATAACGTCATAAGCAAAAAATGAAATATTGAAATTTCTTGCATGTTATTTGTAAATAAAGAAAATTTAAATAAAATAAAATGATGAGATCGCTTTAAAACACTTGTAAAAATGTTTGCTCTATTTTTATGTTTATTTTTACCCCCTTGACAGTAAATAGTTATAAAAAATGTGAAATGAAAATAGGCCTAAAAAAATCTAGATTATACGTATTTTTATTTCATTGCCTTTTACGACTATTTATTGTCCGAACATTTTTACAAGCGTCTTAAAGCGATCTCATCATTTGAATTCTCTTTATTTACAAATTTACATTGCATGCAAGATACTTTAACGTTTCATTTCTCGCTTATAATATCACAATTTAATATGGCCGCAATGACTAATCAGGAGCATAAACTTTTATAATATACACTAGACCGTTAATGATACGAACTCCGTTATTTACCATACCTGATATTGTACAAAATTTTCCAAAAAATGTGATAACCCTATAATAATTTTTTGTAAAAACGAAAATTTTGAAAGACCATTCCCAGATGCGCGAGGGTGGGATGGATAATCCTAGATAATGCCAATAATGCATGAAATTTTTACTTTTGTATAGCCGCCGTTTTAAATGGAGTCATTTATAGTAATTTAAAATTGTCATCATTTTGATCACCATCAAAAAGCCTTGACCAACTCGAACAAATTTTGGATTTATTCAGCAAAGCTTTTGGATTCAGGTCGTTCTCATTGACCAAACTTAAACAACTGTTCATCAATAACACGATGAACAGAAAAGACGTGTCATTTATCATCAGTACAAAAGTAGCATGTCAAAAGGTTGCAGTTTTTGAATAATGGAACGCATATATTTCACCGCTTTTCATTATCTTCGTTTTTATAAAAATTATTACGCAATTACTACATTTTTGAAAAATTTTGAATATATGAATGACATAAAAGATCATGTGATAAGGTTCATGAACTGCTACTAGCCGATATAACAGATATATGTTAGACCTACTATATTACTGTATGTAATTAATATACATATATACCAGCTAATATCCCCTAATGACCCTTTAATATCGCGCATATGCATGATCAGTATGTATATACATACTTTTGAGAACTATATAAGTATTTGAGACAGTTGAGACAACTAGGCAAGTTAAAGCGGTCTAATGTATATAATAGAAGTCTGTAGTTACAGGAGCCATAAAGCTCGTAATTAATATATGTACTATTATCATTAATGAATTTATATACCTATGAAAAGCTTATTAATAAAATCTTTACAAACATCTTTTCCTTTTCTCGTTTTCTTTATTTTTCATATATTTCTCATATGAAATCTTTATGATATGCCCAGTGAAATGACAATGGAATTCGACATCGAATTGATTATTTTGACATCAAATCTACATCAATTCGATATTGATTGCATTATCATTTCTCACTGGGTAATGTATATCATTTTAATAGGTGCGCAAAATGATGTAAAACGTGCGATTTGCAAATATACATATATATATTTTTTTATAACAATATGAATATTTTTTCTTTTTCATAGACATAGTACAAAAATAATAATTATTATTGCTTTTTCTCGCGTATATTTAATAAAATATAGACTTTTGAAGGCTTAAAACGCAATTTGTTTTTAAAAATTGCAATCTTAAAAGGTCTTACAGATTGAATAATTTTTAACAAATTATTGGCTATCATATTTACATAGCAAGACGACATTTCATATATATCCTGCGCATGTATGGCAATTATATAAAGTATCCTATATGAATCTAAATGGATTAAATATTTGTAAATTATCCTGCAAAAAAAATACAATCTTACAGATACAGTACAAACAAAAAATGCAATTAACAAACTTACAGTGTATAAATCGAGTAGCTCTTTGGTAAAATTTGTGTACACTACGCATTTCATAGGTCAAATTATTGTTATTATAAACTATGTTTTTGTAGAAAAGATCATGCGCTATACTATTCGCTGAGGAAACACTTCCAAACAATTCTGTTAAATTCATATAATTCTGACTCTGTAGAAATTCAACTATTATTGTCAGATTTGGCAACTGGATCCTCGATAAATCTTTTTTGTATTCTCAAGAAGTGACATCAAATGCGACATGTACATTCATATACAAAAGAAAAGATCGCCTCCGAAAGACATACATTTTTTCATACATTAACAAAAACAAATTTTAAATACAATTTTAAATATATGTATCTCTATACGTGTGTATATTATATATATACATATATACACACACACACACATATACATATATAAATATATGTATATTTTAAAAATACTTTAGAAAATTATGTTAAATTTAAAAGCTGCAATGAAGTATTTATAAAAATGTTGCTACAATACTATCAACAATATTTCTCTTTCAGTATAATATCTTAAACCTTAACATGTCATAATATTAAGGCAATAGTATAATAAAAAAAATTGTATAGCAAATTTAGATATCAATGTAGTGAGCTTAGATATTATTACGATATTACAATTAGCACAATATATCGTTCAATATGTTTATAAAAGTGTCAAAATCTTTGATATATTCTAATAGGTATCGTTGTCGCTTGGACATTGTTATGTAAGAAGAAACCAATGCGAAATACATCGTTAATTGTGCATTTTAAAAGAACATATACAAAATCTACATTTGCAAATGTAAATTTTGTATAAGATAATTTGGAAAAAGACGCCATACTTAAGTCTTTATTCTTGAATAACTTATTAATGTTATTGAATCAATCTACGAAAAAATATTATTTATATTCTAGAAACCTTTTTTCATACAAATTAAATATTTGATATTATTGAAAAAATTATGTCATACTCTATGCCAAAAAATGTTACGAACAATTAAATATTTGCATATTTTACTTATTCACAATCCATAATCAAGAAATCGCAGCTATAAAAACGCATAAAGATATTATAAAACATATTAAGAGGATATGAAAGAGAAATTTAGAAAGTATGTTGGATATAATTTTATTCCTTTAAACAAAATTTTATCAATTTTAAATATTTCGAATTATATAAAGCATTAAAAATTTTAATTTATAAAATCTAATGATTGTATCAAACAGGGAAAATTGTGTTTTGTTTTTTTTTTTTACTGTTATCTTCCTCTCAAGTGTAAGAGGAATATGGCAAATTGTAACTTTTACGCATATAAGAATATTACAAATTATTATATATATCAGCCACACGACTACCACGAAATACCGATCAAAATCATATTTATATCATTTGTTCGATTGTACAGTAAACATAGAAACATGCAACCTTATCTGCTAGCGTACTAAATATTATAAAAAAATATTTTATGATCTACCTTTTCATGTTTTATTAAATATTTTTCAATGCCAATGAAATTTTCAATGTCGGCATGAACTTTTTTGATAATTGCGCTTTTTTTACCCATTGTCTACTACATACTTCTACGCAGTCAGAATGGCTAATATATACTATTCTATAAAATATAAATAAAGTGACATCTTCCCCTGAATTACCTTATATTCTCTTAAAATAGCCGATTAATAAATTAACGATGTAAAATTTGGAAGAACGCAGAAATATAACGATTGATTGCCTCTTGCATAACGTGTATTTAATCTCATGGAACAGACTTCTCATACGAGTCTCAGTCATTGTACATTCCGTCAATCAAAAAATCCATCCTTCGATAGTGCCTCTTATCCCAGCAATCTCGACCGCGCCTATATAATATGAAAATCGCAGCACCTAATATCGGTAAAGCGACAATTGTTATAATGACTGGCACAATGTAGTCGATTTTTCTTGGCATACCTAGTGGAGGATTTTTTGTTCGTGAGAGCGGTATAGATTCATTAATTTCTGGCCCATCAACAGTCGTTACTGTTGGTTTAGGCTTCGGTATGTGCTTTTCAACATGCATAGATATCTTCGTTGTCATATTATTCATAATGTCTAGGTGAGCTGTAGTTTCATTTATACTTGTATTAGAGTAATTGGAGGTTATACGGTGATTTAAGCTATCATCAGAGCGTGGATTATTCGTACTTAATTTCGGGATGTGAACGTTGGAAGTTTTAGATTTGATATGAGCTGTTTCTATCGCAGGACTACTTTTCATTGTTGGTATTTTCATATTTTCAAAAGTGGTCTGATTAAATAATACATTCTCCTTCTCTGGATCCATATATTGATATATAACTTTTGTAGGTGTTATCTGTGAAATTTCTGTAACTCCCTTCCTCGGTTTTATTTTATCAACTCCTTTCCTTGCAACTACAGAAGGAGTAGCATGTCTTTCCTTAGGTGCATTCTCCCTTGTTCTGGCTTCATTGGATTCAACTGTAGTGCTTCCATGTTGAGACGTTATTATAGGTCCTCCTTCTGCTACACTAGAATACGGCTTGAAAAATATTTTATTGTTTTATAAAAAAAATTATTTTATTTCCTTCAAAAAAACTGAATTATTGTATGTCAAATAAAAAATGTATTTCTAAATGCAGAAAACTATTACATATAAACTCTATCATAAAAAGGAAGTAATACTCCATATTTATAGATATACAAAATTAATAAAAATACAAAATAACAATTTAATACAAAAAATAAAAAATATTGAAAATATTATATTTTAAAAATGAAACATAACTTCAAAATTCAAAAAAGATTAGAAAATGTAATATATGTAATATTTGTATATAATTAAATAAATTATAAATAAATAAAAAATATAGAAAGTATAAGACAAAAATTAAAAACAAATAGAATATAATAAGCCAAATCTAATCTATAGAATTTATAGATGAAATAAAATAAAGCAAAAACAAACCAAACAAAAAAATAAGAACATGAATATAGAGGGATTTACAGCTAAAAATACAGACTAAAATCTCAATCTTTTTAGAAACGTACTTTAAATATTCAAAACCATTTATCCAAAGTTCTGTTGCAATACAGAAATTAATTAATTTATATAAATAAACAAAGTTCATTTATTTGTTTATTTACAGAATTAATTACTCTGTATTATAATAAAATTTTGCATAAATCATCTTGAATACTTAAAATACACGTACGTATACAACTATAAATTTAGATTCTTATTATTTTTTAAGTTAAAATAAAATAAAACAAAATAAAATTAATAAATTATGAACATTTTCTTAAATAAAAGTAAATAAAAGTATTCACACTGTAATAACATATTTTATACGACAAAAATTTTGTATCTTTGTAGCTGTACTCTGCGTATTTTGAACTTTGATCTATATTTAAAATAAAATAGAACCGCAGGAAAACGGAGAGAAAAAGAGGAAAGATGAGACGCGTATAAAAATTTAGCAACAAAGAATAGACTACAAATTCTGGCGCAATTCTCTCATATCGTGTGTAAACGGAAAATGCGCGTACAGTACGCAACTGCGCAGTGTACACCAGTGCACTTACCGACACTTCCTTGTCACCCGTTACATTGAGAGGCTCGACCGTCGACGTCGAGTACGACAGTGGTTCGGTTGGAGAACCACGACTGGGCATCGACGGTTCCGAGGACGTGCTGGCTGTTACAGCGTTGATAGACGAGGTTAGCGTTGCAACGAATAACGTGACTATCAATACGAACGGCAGCGAGGAGCATAGAAGATCGAACGCGGCCATATCGCGTCGCGGATCCCCGATCGGATTGGCATGCACGAAAACTCCGGGAAATTCGATCGAGCAAAAAACACTTGCGCGGATACAACTGAAAATAAGGAAAAACGGAAAAAAAAACGGAGCGCTGCCCGCAATACCGCGAGAGCGACCGATGATTAGTCCATAACCGCTGATAGCTGCCGCAAACTGTCGCACGTCGCACGAGAACCCCGAGTCCACTCGAGTCTTTCTGAGTCTCGGCCTCTCTTCGTTTCGGCTGCACTTTCGCTGTTTCCCTTCTCTCTCTTTCTCTCTCTCCCTCTCGTCGTCTCTCTTTCTTTTTAAGTTACAGCATACAGGGTGTCCTAGAATTAACGAAAAGCGAGTGCGTGGTAATTTCGAAAATGGGCCATCTTATATCTTTTTTTTTTTCGCATAAACTTTGAAAATAAGATCAAAAGTAAATCGGAGCAGATTGATTTTTGTTAGCGTGATATAGTCTTCATCTTCTTCTTTTCAACATCTAATAGCAGGGTATAATCATTTTATTTTAAGTGCAGATCGAAAGTAGTGCAGCCCGAAGAGCACACCTCGCAATATACGCCCAGTTTCCTGTGTTCGTGCAATTGTAGAAATAAGAAAACTTTATGGCGACTTGCGAAAGTTTCACGATGCTTTCACAACTAAACATATACGAATAATGTATACAAAAACGCGTATACTTAGTTTGCTGGCAAATTATTATCTATACGTAAAAAAATTGAAATGAGAAAAGCTTCTTATTTTATTGTAAAAAAATTGAAATGAGAAAAGCTTCTTATTTTATTGTAAAAAAATTTTGAATTGCAAAATTATTGAAAAAGATGAGAAAGAAAAATTAATTATATTACTTATTTAAAAAAAATTTTACTTTTAGATACTAATATAATTTTTAATAAGCAAACTGTCTAATTTTCCAGCAAATTGGCAGCAAATGTAATTAACAAACTATGACATCAATTTAAATTAACATCTTTTGCTCGTATTTAATGAAGTAATATATATCAAAGTCTACTTGATCTCTAAAATCAATCATATTTTATTGGCAAAGTTTACTGTATTAGCATTCTACCAATAACATTATGTATTGTATGCTAGATCCTATCAAATTTGATAAGTTTCTCTATCAACAAAATATAGGTAGTAGAATCTATTTTCGACAGATTTTTGTCTGTTTACGTGCGATCTCGTATCTGCCCGTGTTCATCTCTATTTTTACCAAACAAAAATAATACAAAAGAAGAAAAAGTTGCACAGAATGCGGATTGATACAGCGATCTACGAAAGATATGTGAATTAAAAATAATTGTGGAGATTTTGTGAAATTGAATTGTCCCAATCTCCGAAATATTTTGAATTTTACGTTTAGAATACTATATAATAGCGCGGAGGGGAGAGAGAGAGAGAGAGAGAGAGAGACTTAGGAAAAATATTTCTGAAATTTAGTGATCCTCGCCGGAAAAAATTTTCGCGTTCTCGTAATTATAGGTGACGTTAAAAACAATCGAACTGAACGAGGACGTAAGAAACAACTGAAATTACCGGCTGTAAGTCGCGAAGGATGTAGGCAATAATCGTAAGTGGTAAACACGTAAGTATATACGTTATACTGTTGACGAATTGACGTCATGCACACATTATCCGGTGGCGACACGTACGAGACGACGTACGAGGCAGACGATAAAGCGTTAATAATAAGGCTCATTAAAATCATTCACGAAACATTACGTTATTTAGATACTCTTCCTCTTGATTGTCTCTTTTCATTATCTTTTTTTTTTCGTTGTGGCGGGCCTGGCTGTACCACTTTTATCGCAACGAAATACGTACGTGACTGATCATCGTTACTGCGTATGCGTGGATCCTCGTATGATCCAACAATTTAGGAACGTCGTCAACGTAGCGTAGTAGATGTACATACATGCGTGTGCGTCGTGTTTGCTTGACATTCGTTTCACATTGCGTTTCAAAGCTCCTAGTTATAGCTACTTGATTGATTCTCAAGAAAATGTGGTTCTTCTATTTTTTCACAGAACACCAACTCGACTCTTAGACTGCTTAAGAGTATCGATCAGATACTATGAAAATCTGATTGATAAATCTAGAGTTTCTGGGATCAAAGATTAACAGTTGTCATTGAGGTATACACATACACGCAGTTTTTAATGACCATGATGATTTTAATTCTAATTTTTTGAAATCTGTATACTTTTTTTTTTACTCCTAATAATTTAAATGCTCTAAAAGTGCGATAATATAAATAAATTCACATATAAATAACTAACTTATAATTTGACCCTTCACCTCGTGACTCACGATAACAGATTGATACATGCACGTGCAAAAATTATTCAGTTATCATCAGTTATATTATTGTAGTTCGCTCATAAAGTTAGTTATTTGATCTCGGCTAGTTGATTATGATTAATTTAGAAGTATATTTGACATAAAAACTATAGAAGAGAATGCTTTGAAATTATATATGTAAACTTGGGTATAAGATTTGAACATATACATGTAAAGTTAATAATTTGATAAGAACATTTATTGGATTCTAAGTCATAATTTTGTTTACAGTTAAAAGCACAAAATGCGTAGCAGAAGCAACTCTGGTGTCCGTTTGGACTATTACCAGCGGATTGTTCACAAGATAATCATGAATTATCAGAATCCTGTTACTGGACTCTTTCCTGCAAGTCCTGACAATGACCATGCTTGGATACGGGATAACGTTTATTGCATACTTGCTGTATGGGGTCTATCAATGGCTTATAAAAAGATAGCAGATGCTGATGAGGATAGAGCAAAAACTTACGAGCTCGAACAGAGCTGTGTAAAGCTAATGAGAGGTCTCCTGATGGCAATGATGCAACAGAAGGAGAAAGTGGAAAAGTTCAAGTCTACTCAGAATCCACATGACGCCTTGCATGCAAAGTATAGTTCTACCAATGGTCAAACTGTAGTTGGAGATACAGAATGGGGACATCTTCAAATCGATGCAATTTCTCTGTATCTTTTAATTCTTGCTCAAATGACAGCATCTGGCTTACAGATTGTTTTCAACTTGGATGAGGTAGTATTTGATATCTAACATTTGTATGATTTATATTTGTGACATTGTAAACTTATAAATTGTATAATTTTTTAGTAACACAAATATAAATGTATTTGTGTAACAGTATGTAGTGTAAACTAGATTTATTTATTTATTTAAGAAATTAGATTGCAATTTTCTTGTTAATTTTAGGTGGCTTTTATTCAGAACTTGGTATTTTACATTGAATCTGCCTATTGCACTCCAGATTATGGAATTTGGGAAAGGGGGGACAAAACAAATCACGGTTTGCCAGAATTAAATGCAAGTAGTATCGGAATGGCCAAGGCTGCAATGGAAGCAATGAACGAATTGGATTTATTTGGTGCAAGAGGTGGACCTACATCAGTTATTCATGTTCTGGCCGACGAGGCACAGAAGTGTCAAGCAGTACTGCAATCCATGTTGCCTAGAGAGTCAAATTCCAAAGAGTTGGACAGTGGTTTGCTATCAATTATAAGTTTCCCTGCGTTTGCAGTAGATGAGCCTAATTTAATTCACGAGACACGTGATGCTATTACCAAGAAATTGCAAGGACGATATGGTTGTAAAAGATTTTTAAGGGATGGATACAAAACGCCGAAAGAGGATATAAATAGGTATTTATTTAATACTTAATAAAATAATATCTAAGAATTTTTGTTTTTATTGAATTTATTTTGACTAATAATTATATCCTTGAAAATAGATTGTATTATGAACCATGGGAGCTTCGTATGTTTGAGAATATTGAATGCGAATGGCCACTATTCTTCTGTTATTTAATATTGGATTACTGCTTCCAAGGTAATAAAGAAGTAGTTGAGACGTGCACCAAACAGTTGGAAGAAGTAATGATTAAAGCAGAAGATGGTATGAAATTAGTGCCTGAATTATACTCTGTCGCACCTGAGAATGTATCAGCAGAATATGCTGAACCTGGTAGTCAAAACCGAATAGCTTTAGGCAGATGTCCATTTAAGTGGGCGCAATCTCTTTATATTTTAGGAAAATTGCTTCAAGAGGTAATATACTTTCAGAAACGTAATTAAAGCAAATTAATTTCCTTAAAATATCACGTTTAAAAAGTTAATTGCATCTTTTTTATAATTTGTGACATTTATTACAAATATTAAAACTATCAAACATAATTTTATCTGCTGTTTCTTCTAGTCTAGAAGATTAGTTTCTTCTAATCTAGAAAATAGTGCTTAATACAATAATGCTGTATTTCTATAATATAATTCTTTCAATAATTTGTTTCAATTTATAGGGATTTCTTGCTGTTGGCGAGTTAGATCCCTTAAATAGACGATTATGTAGTGAGAAAAAGCCGGATGTTGTGGTACAAGTAGTTATCTTGGCAGAAGACACAGAAATTAGGGAAAAAATTGCCCAGCATGATATTCATGTACAAACAATTGCAGAAGTTGCACCGATTGAAGTACAACCTGCAAAAGTACTCAGTCATTTGTACACATATTTAGGTATGATTCAACAAAATCCTGAATTGTTTAGAAATATTTTTCTAAAGCATATATAATTTAGATATTATATATTTTATATTTCGTTTTTAGGACGCAACAAAAAATTAGGACTGTCTGGACGTAAGTCAAGGGATGTAGGAATTCTCAGCACTAGTAAACTGTATTCCTTACACGATAAGATATTCGCGTTCACACCACAGGTAAATACCTGCATTTTATGATGAGCTTTATCATCTTTTTGTATCTTTACTTCTTTTCTTATGTTTCCTCTTGTTCTCGCACCGAATTGACTAGTTGACAGATATGACCCGCTTCTACATCGCATCGGACTATGAGCTCATGATTGACATATTCAAAGGTGAAATTAATTTCTTGAAGTCTAGTTGGCAGAATATGTTGGGCCGGCCTCTCGTGGTCATGCCCCTCAAGAATATTCATCTAGGTAATTTAACGATTCCAAAATCATAGTTCTTTTTTTAACCGTTACTATAAACTTTCTGAAGTCCGTTGAAGTTGTCATGATTAGGCAAGTTGTGGTTCCTCTTAGAAGTTTTGATGAATTTCTTGCGTGAAATTCTCATTTTTTATAAACACTGTGACTGTCCGCTGAACAACTAATGTCTGCTTGCATGCGTTTGTTTTTGTCATGGTTTCATTTAACAGTTACTTAACTCTCTATGGCACGCTTACATGATTTTGAATACTTCAGGACTTATGTTTGTTATATATAATAGATCTGTTCTTTATTACTGAACTTTTGCACCAGTTTATCTTTTTTCCTTTTCCCTTCTCCTAACGAGAAAAGGAAGAAAGAAGTGCAAAAGTTTAGCAATAAAGAATAGACCTTATATGTGCCTTAATAATGCATTATTATATAAGTTCTAACTGTAATTCAAATTGATAATAATTTACTTTCGAAATTAGTACATAATAATCCATGGAGAGTTACGACATGAGCTTTTAATTAGTTTCATTCATGTTATGTTTCTA